AATCAACTATGTAGAAACTTGGATTCTTTGATGAAATGTCCTTTATCATGACTTCTGTGGAATGTTGATTTTATCTATGGATCTATTTTTCTATGCAGCTTGAAATCTTAAATATGACAGAACATCTTTTGAAATAGCCTGCAAAGCTGCTTTCCCAAGGTTTTCTCAGGTGTTTAGAGATAATTGGACTTCAGTCGCAAACTTTCATTGTATACTCTGTCACATATGTACAGTACCACCTAACAGTTAACAAAAGACTGCCATACTCTTCTTCAGATTTTATATGGGGACGTTATTATTAAAAATCTAGTTATATTTTGACTATTTATTCTGCTTATGCCCTTGTTCTGCAAACTGAATGCTAATAAAAGTATTTTTATTACAGTTCATTGATATTGGAATAATTACAAGTATTGAAATAAATCATAAACAAGTAGATGTTGCAAAAAAAGGTCAAGAAGTCTGTATAAAAATAGAACCAATTCCTGGTGAAGCACCTAAAATGTATGGTCGACATTTTGAAGCAACTGATATACTTGTCAGCAAGGTAAACATTTTTTAATTCGGAGTGTCATGCTTGAATGTAAGGACAAAAGGCCTTTTTTGAAATGGGATTAGAATTAGACTGTGTCAGCATGGGGGTGGAGAAGAGAGGCTGTTACAGAAATTTTGATACAAAATCATTCTTTGCTTATTATAGAGGTTAAAATTAAAAATGGTTGAAAACATCATTACAGTGCTTAAGGTGCAACTTTTCAAAAAATGTTATTTTGGTTTCTGAAATTTATGAAATGTAGGTTTGTGCTATATATAACAATCTTACGAGTAGGGATGTCATGGTAAACATTTTGTTTTTCTACCTACAGATTAGTCGTCAGTCCATTGATGCCCTGAAAAACTGGTTCAGAGATGAAATGCAGAAGTCTGACTGGCAACTTATTGTGGAGCTCAAGAAAGTATTTGAAATCATCTAGGTTCTGTCAAACTTTGAGCAATGATTAGCAAAAGCCCACAGTTCCTATTATAAGAACAACAGCAGCTTATAATAAATATGCTGTTGGATTTAACAAACATCTGGGGGAAATGTGGATAAAATGTTTTCCATGAGAAACCAAATAACTTACACTGGTTTGACAGTGGTCAATTTATGTCCCTGTGGTTCCAATGTGCCTGTGCATCTTTCCCAATGCCCTTCACTTTGTACTGGCTACTTTTAAAGTTTGCCCTTTCCAATTCACATCCCCAAATTAAAAGAAAATATTTTTTTTATTAAGTAACTTAGCTTTCACTTTTATACTAGTAAGATCAGTACCACAGTATTTGCCTAATCAAACTCTTACAGACTTTGTGATTTTTTGGACTTTTTGATGTAAGAAATCTTTATTTATGCATACCCTCTTTCCCCCTGATTTTTTTTCATCACTTCTGCTTTGTGCCTATAGAAATTTATTATAGAAAAATTAGGTAATTGGCTATCTGTATTTGATTGGTGTGAAACAATGATGTAAAGCATAGTTGGCTGCCTTTTATTGCTTGTACAGTTTATGAAATTTGGCAAATTAATCATTAATGCTGAACTGCAAATAAAAGAAATGAACATTACTCTGATAATTTAATTCCTAATAAAGGCAGTGCAGCATGCAAATATATCTTTCAAAATTTAGTTATGTGTGTCTGGTCTGAACACTTCAATAGTCCTCTTGTGTAAGGTTGTTGGTTAGAAAGATGGAATAAAATCTCTCTGCCAAATGCTTGGAAGAGCACAGTTGAGCAGTTTGATCTGGTCAGTGTAGTTGAAGTATTATGTGTAGTAATCCTATTAATATGTAAATGAGGTGGTATAATTGTACTGTATAATTTTACAAACCCACATTTAGGAAGGTGGGCTAAAATTAACCATCTTTGAATGATGATCCTATACACTAGTAGCATCATGGTATTTACTGCTAGGGTTACATGGAAGGCAGATTATCAACAATCCTACTTTTAGTTTTTTGCCTGATGTTTGCAGAATGGCCTTAATCTTAACCAGAATGGCAGGATGTTTGCAGAATGGCATTAGCCAGCCAGAAAATGATTCTCATTGCAACTATAATTATCAGGATACAGCGGTAAAGTTAAAATTGTAAATGTAATAAAAAGTTAAAATTCTACAGGTTGAAAGAAGCTGATTAACAGGTCTGCAAAAATGTCAAGATATGCTGTAACTTAAGTCTATTCTAAAGATAACATTTTTACCAGATAAGATAAACATAAGTAAATCTTCAATCCTCACTGTTTTCTATTTATTTTGATATTAAACCACTTTTCATATAGCCTCATTAGTCAAGATTAGTATATCTCAAATTCTGAAATTAAATGTGATAAGAGAATTCTCTTAGGTTCTAATGAGACTGTTGTGAAGGTCAGTTGATATGTTGCTAGAATTACCTGGAGGATATGAGGATAAGAAGAAATCTCTTCAGAATAGAATAGAATAGAATCTGGAAGGGACCTTGGAGGTCTTCTAGTCCAGCCCCCTTCTCAAGCAGGAGAACCTATACCATCTCAGACAAGTGGCTGTCTAGTCTCTTCTTAAAAACCTCCAGTGATGGAACTCCCACGTCTGAGGGCAAGCTGTTCCACTGGTTAATAATAATAATAATAATAATAGTAAAGTTGGAAGGGACCTTGAAGGTCATCTAGTCCAACCCCCTGCTCAGGCAGGAAACCCTATACCATTTCGGACAAATGACTGTCCAGTCTCTTCTTAAAAACTTCCAGTGTTGGAGCATTCACCGCTTCTGGAGGCAGGTTGTTCCACTGGTTAATTGTTCTGTCAGGAAGTTTCTCCTTAGTTCTAGATTGCTTCTCTCCTTGGTTAGTTTCCACCCGTTGCTTCTTGTCCTGCCTCCAGGCGCTTTGGAAAATAGCTTGACTCCCTCTTCTTTGTGGCAGCCCCTGAGATATTGGAACACTGCTATCATGTCCCCCCCTCGTCCTTCTCTTCATTAAACTAGACATACCCAATTCCAGCAGCCGTTCCTTATATGCTTTAGCCTCCAGTCCCCTAATCATCTTTGTTGCTCTTCTCTGTACTCTTTCTAAAGTCTCAACATCTTTTTTACATCGCGGTGACCAAAACTGGATGCAGTAT